AAAAAAAAAAAAAAAAAAAAAAAAAAAAAAAAAAAAACGGAGAGAATTTTTTCTCATTTGCTTATTTTATTGATAGACTCACCTTTGATCTGTTGGATTTTTATTTGGGTGAAACATTTTTTGCTAACTCTCGCATTTTAGTGAGAGGTAAATAAAACCCCAACAATTATGCCCGAACATGTACTACATCTCACATGCACGTCTCTGTACATTTACAATGACATAAGAATCAACAAATAGTTATGTACAGCAAAGATAATTCTTGCTCCTTTCAGACATGTGTACTTCCACTGTATCCACCCGTTGTAGGACCCACTACCACGCATTTTATTGCCCATGTGGATGTGGTGGCATATTTAGATCCAAAACTAAGGTATCAAATACAAAGCTAGCCACTATGGCTTCAACGCTGTTTACCTTTGCTAAGAATGTTCTAGAAAAACCTACGGTTAGGTCTAGAATCCCTGTAGCAGTTAACGGGTGTCTCCGTTCTACTGTGAGGGCTCACTGCCCAGTAGTTGTAATCCAAAGAATACATAAACCTAGTCGTATTCCTGTTGCTACTAAAGCTTTGTATGGTGGTGGTGAGGGGAGAAACGAAAGGGGGGAAATTATTGTGGCTGATCCTCTGTGGAGGATGAGGGGTAGGCGTGCTCGTAAAACACCTATGCCTAGATCTCTTTTGCGTTCTCCTTGGCACCCTATCAGTTACAGGCACACTTCAAGAAGTGTTGCCGATGCTTTGGAAAAGACAAAGTTGTATGGCACCGCTAAGTTGTGTAGTGAGTTTATACATCCCAGTAGAACTGGTAGAATTATGGGAAGTAAAAGTAAGAAAGACATGGCAAAAGTTGCACCCTCTTCTAAAAGGCGCTCAGCCTTTACTAGATTTGTATTGAGAATATTTGGTATGGGGTAATATGTTAGCACAAATACCCCTGTTTGTATATATCTTTTCTACTGTATATATATATTATGGCATTTAGTTGTTTAGAGAGAACATTTGCAAATTTACATTATCAATTTCAATATTTTTAGAATTCTATACAGAAAGATTTCTGGCAACCTTTTTACGAATTCAATCCTTACATTTGTATACAACTTCCTTTGTAAACACTTTGATGACTGTGTGGAAGATATAATATTTTGGATATCTTTGCATAAAACTTTTAGACTTTCTATTTTTTAATCAAATCTCTTAAACAAATATTTTAGAAAAAAAGGGCATTTAAAACAAAAACTTTTACTGGCTAAATATTATTTTTGAATTGGATTTTTTATCATCTTTGATGAACAGCAAAAACAATATTGTACATACTGGAGAATTTATGATCATATAATGCAGTAGGATCCATAATAAAACTAACTAAATAAATAAACAAATAGTTTGAAAAAAAGTGAACAAAAGAAAAAATAAAGAAAACCCTGAAATAAAATTTGAAATAAAAATAAGAAAAGAAATTCTTTCTGCAAAATAGATAAATAAATACATAAAGAAAGAAATGAGTAAATAAATAGATAATTAAATAAAAGTCTAAAAATTAATGAAAAACAATGAAAATCATGAAACAGAATTCGAAGTATGAATAAAGAAGTAAAAGTTGTCACATTAATGTTTATCTCCTTTATCAAATAAGATCATTTTGGTTTCATGAAGTAACATGTAGTGTTTATGTTATTTCTGGTTATCATTGACTACATACTCATTAGAACATCTCTGAGGAGGATTATGTTCTTGTTGGTGCTGGCCACACTAACAGGAACATTTGGAAAGTTCATGATCAACCCTTATTGATTTTGGCCAAATCTGTAAGGTCATTGGTCATGATCTTTTCATCATAGCATGTGTTTGTGTTGATGTAGGGCCCCATCAACACCAACACTGCTATATTCCTCTGGAAGTGTGAGTATGTAGGTCTATCATCACCAGTTATATCATTTACTCTGGAAAAAAAAAAAAGAAAACATTGTCCACTCAATTATTGTTTATTAGTGAAAATAATGAGAAAGTTTTAAATGTAAGGTCAGAACTGATTAATGTGCGAAGAATATAATTGCTTTTTAAATTTCTTTCTCCATAATATTGCAATTTATCTGAAAAAATTGAATCATGCATAATAAGTAGAGTATAAAGCCAATAATGTTCCACAGGTATGCAGTATTTTGATAAATCTCCATTCTTACATGTTAATATTATGCTCCTGAACTTTATTAAAATCTATCTTCCACACAGTCATTTTCTTGTGATTTGTATATATACAACTGTTTTCATGTTCTAAGGAACAATTTTTACAATCAGATTTTCTTGTCAATTGTAATACAGAACAATACTAAAATATGAAATAAAATATTTTGTCACTCACCATATATTGTTGTTGTTGGTAATGTTCCTCTCTTTCTCTCTCTCTTTCTCTCCTCTCTCTCTGTCTCTTCTCTTTCTCTCTCTCCTCTATCTCTGTCTCTTCTCTTTCTCTCTCTCTCTCTCTCTCTCTCTCACACACACACACACACAAGTATAAACAAGCATAAACATACAGGCACTCATACATAAGCAGACAATATAAAGCTTGGAAAAAAACTTACATGTATCTATATCTCTGTATTTTAGCATTTAAGAAAAAGCAGCTTTTACATCTCCAAAAACTATCATTAGCTTTAATTTTTCACTGTTTATTCCTTTTTTCATGCTCAAAATTTGTTTTAAGGGTTAAATAACTTGTGGGAGAACAAAGTTTGGACAGACATGGAAGTTTGAGTTGGAATACTTAAGTTTATTGCTTTGTCTGTGGTACTTTGGAGATGAAAAAGCTGCATTTTCACCTGAAACATGCTAAGCCTCCACTCGGTACTGTACACACTCTACAGAAGCTGTGGAAGACATTTGAGAAAATTTTGTGAGTTCTAATTTTTAAGAATATTGAAGCTCCTTCCTACCTGCACAGTGTGCTTAGCCGAGTCCTATAGAGACAGACATACATTTCAGAAACCTGGCAAAATCTCTTTACTTCACCATAAAAGACATACATTTGCACAATTTAAGAACGTTTATGACCTTTCCAACTTTTTCATTAATAATAAATAAAATTTCACCTTGGGAATAATTTTGTTCATAATAAATAATGTGAACCAAAAATGTGGACAATTTACAATTCTAACACAGATTTCATCTGGTGGTGGCCTAGCATAGATTTTAACATTTTAAAAAACTTTTAAAAACTTAATTTAAAAACTGTGCAAATTGTCTGTTATTTCAGAGTGACAGAATTCAGTGATGAAAAATAAAACAACACAAATGTTTGACACATTTATTTATAGAACAACTACAACATTACACATTTACAGTTTTCAAAGCAAATATTTCACTGCTGTGCAGAATATAGTTTACTAGTTTTAATGATAGTTTATTTCACAACCTTTGATTAATTCTTCCATAATCCTATTAAAATATTTCCTATCTCATTTTTCAAAATCACTTTAAATTGTACCTAAATGCAGCATTTTACAAGAAATATTTCAGAAAATGGCATTGAGATGTAAAATACAGCCCCCTTACGAGTGCTCAAATAAGTGCTCCAATACCCCCTCCCTCCCATCAACTACTTCATAATTCATAATTGTTGTTTGGACAACAAAAAACTCATCAATTCTCAAATTTAACATATATATTTTAAGAGAAAAAGAAAGAACCAAGAGAAATGACTAGCAATTTATACAAGGCAAATATAAATAGTTCACCTGCCCCCCCCCCCAAAAAAAAACTATTTTATTGCTTGACATGGTACCTGAACTTATCAATGCCATTTCTTAAATTGACCCTTAACATGGTGATAGCTAAATTAGTCTACAACCAATTCAAACATCACCTAGCCATCTATCTTGAATTACATAGGTAGACAATTCCTAGTCTTATAATGAGTAAGAAGTCTTATCTATGCTGTATCAGCAATGAAAATGCCAAGGTGTATACACCATGATGTACAAACATTACCAGTATTAACCACCTGTACAATTGGTACAATACCAGAACAAGACTTGTAAAAATAGACATTTGCACCATGCACATCATATAATACATAGTTCCATCAATATGTAATAGCACATGTTCATGCACATTTCAAAAAAATGATCTCCTGATTACTTTGTATTTGGCCGACTTTCGTTGTTTATACTAAATTTAAATACAGGAAGCATTAAAGACCACACAAAACTGTATATATGCTTTCTCTTGATTTTTCATAAAATACATACAGCAAGATTATGCTAAAATGCCTTTATGTGTAATATATAATCTGGAAATAGACACCACAGTTGGCATATATTTATATATATGAACATAAAACATTCAAAATTAAAATGACAATAACAGCATGCTGACATATTTTTCAAAAATGAAAAACATCAAATCAATATCATTGATTTTGATATTTTATATTTTTCACAAATGAAAAATATCACATCAAAATCATAGATTAGTCTATCATTTTCCATGATAATTGACGTTTCAAGACCAGAAAATCTACAATGGTAAATCCAAATATCTGAAAAATTATGCTAGTTGCCCATTTTTCTAACTATTGGATATTTATTTTGGATAGCAGCTGTTTTCAAAGAATTCACACTCGTAAGGGAAGTTATATGGGAAGGTATCTTTGGCTTTTCCCAAAATTCACCACAACATCTTGAGGTGTGGGTGAACAAAACTAAAATAAAGCCATGACTGTTACTACCTGCAATCTTCATCTGCCCTGTCGCTTGACAAAACAGACCTGGCTTGTCAGTTGTAATTGCAAAAACTTTTCTGATAATAATTTTGACTTAACAGGCAGCCCTGGCAAATGAAAAGAAACTTAGAAATGCTATGTGTCAATGATGGCATTAACAAGTTTATGGCAGATGCTGCCAATAAAAAGAGAGCTGTACATTTAATATGCACCCACACAAAGGATTTGTATATGATAAAATGACAGATTAAAAATGCACCATATTAAGTTGGACAAACAGAGAATACATAAAATTAGATAAAATGTACAATTTCCTTCTGAAAAAAAAAGTTTAATCTGACAACCATGAAAAAATAATAATAACCCTCTCACCTCAATATTATATGAATGGGCTGTATTCAACAAAGCAATCAATTTCAAAGACTGCTTTGTGGTGACATACAATATATAAGTTGTGTAATTATGCAACTATTACCAAAATAGTTCTACCTACACAATATCTCATAATATGTTATGTATATATGTATATAGCAGCAACCTTGGAAACAGGTTGTCGAGAAATGAGAAATATACAATTGTTTTAACCTCTCAGTGTCTTTCAGATCCTTTCTATTTCTGTATCCAATACATGATGTTAAAAATGTCATCAGGAACTACTTAAAGATTCTCTTTAGGTGTATCTTTGCTCTTCATAGAAAATGACCTTACATTATCCTAACACCCCCAACCCCAACACTCCAGCAACTAGATTTACTCTGTGAAGGTACTGAACATCCCAGACAGGTCCCCAAATTCTGGGTTAGTGGGCTCCAGCATGCGGAACACCTCCCCGAGCTCCTCAGGTTGCTGCTGTGGCTGCTGTTGTTGTGCCTGTGCTGATTGTGTGGCAGTCTGCTGAGCGCCTGCCTCGCTGCCTGCCTGCCAGTGCTGCCACAAGGCGGTGGAAGAGCCAGAGCCTTGGTAACTAGGGTCCTGCGATGTGGCTGGACGCTGTCCCGAGCTCAGCTGGGTGTATGATGGACCACCTGCAAAAGTGAAACAATTGTGATGATGACAATTCTTCAAATGTTTCCCAGAGAGATACCACTGCTTCACAACCGAAAGCTGCAAACATCGATTCAGAAAGATGTACAATGTACTAAACAACTAAACTAAAGACACATTACAGTGTGTGGGTGTTCAAATTGGAGTTCAAAACTTCAAAAACCTTATCTTTAGTGAAATTCTGTGGGTAAAATACAGTGTATATACAGACATCAGTTATTACATCCTCTTCTGGCATAATCACAACAGTGACTTCAAACTATTATAGCTCACTTTACACTCACTTCACAACTAATTTACATTCAAGCTGATGATGATGATAAATATCCTGCCTTTGGGGATAATAAAACCAGATCTATAACATGTCATCAGAAAAACATACATAACTAAAGTGCATATAGGAATAGCATCATAAAGCTAAATGTGTACTCTCAAAGGCTTTCATTATTACCTTATATTATACATATAGAATACATTAAGTAATATAGGTTTATGTGGCCTGTGTTACCTGGAGAAGTGCTTGGACTCATCTGGCTGTAGCCTGCACTGCCACTGTATTCTGATCCACCCTGTAACAAACAAAAATGCATGCAGTACAAGAAAGAAAAAACCCTTAAAACATATTCAGACTCATCAAAGAGGATTTGATGGATGTTGAGAAATAATATGTAACCCTATGTGAAATATCAATTTGGAATTCCAGCAATATTCCAAGGGACAGCAAATAATAACTTATTTCAAAAAATATAATCTGAAAAGATCCTTTTGGAATGGATCCTAGGACATATCCTCATATAAATGTCAGATGACACTATAAAGGGTGATATTACCCATTCAAAACACTCTCTCTCCAGCCATTCAGAACTGAAAGCAGACCTAGTGCAAAGGACTAAATCAATACCATGAACAAAAATCCTTCAACTTACCCTCCTATATAAAACCTGTGAGGGCCAGCTTCCCTGTTGACTAGTTGACGGAATCTGTGTGGAACTTTGGGGAATGTTGGAATAAGACTTGACGGGGGACCTGTTGTAACTGTAACTGCCAGGTACCATGCCCGGGTACACCTCCCCTGTGTACCTACTGTCCCCGGCATTTTGAGCCATGCTGCTGATGCCTTCCGAGGCCCCCATGCCGCGGTGGGGAGAGGCGAAGGTGTTGATGGTGGGGGTGGGGTCTGTGCTCTGGTCACCAGGGCTTACCTGACCAGCACTCTGTTGTTGTGAGCTTCTGGAAAATTCGATAGTAATCAAAATTACACCCTAAAATCTCACATTTAAAGCTCGGACCAAAAACCTAGTGATTAAAAAAAAAATTGATAAACTTTAAAGTATGTTGAATTTTTAGGATTTAAATGCTCAATATTTCATTCATTCCCTAAAATTTAATGGGAGATCTAATTTACAGGCAAAAAGGTAACACTGTATTGAGATGCCTTCATTTGGAAAACCTAAATACTTTCAATTTCTCAAAAATATACAGTAATATTCTGGATATTCTATTTAATTATATACATTAACCATCTTAAAATGCTTAAAGTTCTCTGTTCTTGCTTGGTTCAAAAGCTGGGGCACATAATTTCTCCAGTCAAGTACATTGTATTCTTAGACCATTTAAGCTAAAAGTTTCCCACTCTTGCTTGGTTCAACAGTTGGGGCACATAATTTCTCCTATAAAGTACACTGTATTCTAAGACCATTTAAAGATGTACATTAACCATGTTAAAAAGCTAAAAGTTCACCATTCTTGCTTGGTTCAACAATTGGGGCACATACTTTCTCCCTAAAGTTCATTGTAACCGGTTTAAAGATAGACATTTACAATCTTAAACAGCTAAAAGTTTTTTTTTCTTTGCTTGGTACAACATTTGGGGCATAAACTTTCTCCTTAAAGTACATTGTAACCTGTTTTAATGTTATGCATTAACCATCTCCAAAAGCTGAATGTTCTGTGTCCTGCTGTGTTCAACAATTGGTGAACAAAAATCCTCACATTTACAAAATAATCATCAGAAGAATTATCTACTGTACTCTTCTTACAGAGATTCATTTACCAACTTAACTCCCACTGGGATATTTTCTGTTCTTACTTGGCTAAACTGTTGGTGCACACAATGTACTCTACTTCATCTGTGTATGGGTTCTGGAAGCTGAAGCTGCTGGTTCTCAGCCACACCCACTCTCCATTTTTGGCCCGGAAGCGATACATGATGGACATAACCTGTCCTTTCAGTTTTAGCACTGGAAAAATATAATAAAAATGTCAATATGAAAACATTATTCAACATTCAATATATAAAGGTAATTCTGGATATGGTTTTTTCTTAAGGTAAAATGGTATTATCTAAGATAACTAGAGGATCAGAGAGGCGATACCGCCTCCGAATATTGTACCACCAGCTGGAGCAAGCGCATTTGTNTAAAAACTTTTAAAAACTTAATTTAAAAACTGTGCAAATTGTCTGTTATTTCAGAGTGACAGAATTCAGTGATGAAAAATAAAACAACACAAATGTTTGACACATTTATTTATAGAACAACTACAACATTACACATTTACAGTTTTCAAAGCAAATATTTTACTGCTGTGCAGAATATAGTTTACTAGTTTTAATGATAGTTTATTTCACAACCTTTGATTAATTCTTCCATAATCCTATTAAAATATTTCCTATCTCATTTTTCAAAATCACTTTAAATTGTACCTAAATGCAGCATTTTACAAGAAATATTTCAGAAAATGGCATTGAGATGTAAAATACAGCACCCTTACGAGTGCTCAAATAAGTGCTCCAATACCCCCTCCCTCCCATCAACTACTTCATAATTCATAATTGTTGCTTGGACAACAAAAAACTTGTCATCAATTCTTAAATTTAACATATATATTTTAAGGGAAAAAGAAAGAACCAAGAGAAATGACTAGCAATTTATACAAGGCAATTATAAATAGTTCATCCCCCCCCCCCCCCCCAAAAAAAAAAAAAAAAAAAAAAAAAAAACTTTTTTATTGCTTGACATGGTACCTGAACTTATCCATACCATTTCTTAAATTGACCCTTAACATGGTGATGGCTAAATTAGTCTACAACCAATTCAAACATCACCTTGCCATCTATCTTGAATTACATAGGTAGACAATTCTTAGTCTTATAATGAGTAAGAAGTCTCATCTTTGCTGTATCAGCAATGAAAATGCCAAGGTGTATACACCACGATGTACAAACACTACCAGTATTAACCACCTGTACAATTGGTACAATACTAAAACAAGACTTGTAAAAATAGACATTTGCACCATGCACGTCCAACAATGATACACAGTTCCATCAATATGTAATAGCACATTTCAAAAAATGTGATCTCCTGATTACTTTCGTTGTTTATACTAAATTTAAATACAGGAAGCATTAAAGACCACACAAAACTGTATATATGCTTTCTCTTGATTTTTCATAAAATACATACAGCAAGATTATGCTAAAATGCCTTTATGTGTAATATATAATCTGGAAATAGACACCACAGTTGGCATATATTAATATATACGAACATAAAAAATTCAAAATTAAAATGACAGTAACAGCATGCTGACATATTTTTCAAAAATGAAAAACATCAAATCAATATCATTGATTTTGATATTTTATATTTTTCACAAATGAAAAATATCACATCAAAATCATAGATAAGTCTATCATTTTCCATGATAACTGACATTTCAAGACCAGAAAATCTACAATGGTAAATCACAAATATCTGAAAAATTATGCTAGTTGCCCATTTTTCTAACTATTGGATATTTATTTTGGATAAGCAGCTGTTTTTAAAGAATTCACACTAGTAAGGAAGGTTATATGGGAAGGTATCTTTGGCTTTTCCCAAAATTCACCACAACATCTTGAGGTGTAGGTGAACAAAACTAAAATAAAGCCATGACTGTTACTAACTGCAATCTTCATCTGCCCTGTGGCTCGACAAAACAGACCTGGCTTGTCAGTTGTAATTGCAAGAACTTTTCTGATAATAACTTTGACATAACAGGCAGCCCTGGCAAATGAAAAGAAACGTAGAAATGCTATTTGTCAATGATGGCATTAACATGTTTATGGCAGATGCTGCCAATAAAAAGAGAGCTGTACATAATATATATATGCACCCACACAAAGGATTTGTATATGATAAAATGACAGATTAAAAATGCACCATATTAAGAGTTGGACAAACAGCGAATACATAAAATTAGATAAAATGTACAATTTCCTTCTGAAAAAAAAAAAAAAAACAAAAACAGTTTAATCTGACAACCATGAAAAAATAACAATAACCCTCTCACCTCAATATTATATGAATGGGCTGTATTCAACAAAGCAATCAATTTCAAAGACTGCTTTGTGGTGACATACAATATATAAGTTGTGTAATTATGCAACTATTACCAAAATAGTTCTACCTACACAATATCTCATAATATGTTATGTATATATATATAGCAGCAACCTTGGAAACAGGTTGTCGAGAAATGAGAAATATACAATTGTTTTAACCTCTCAGTGTCTTTCAGATCCTTTCTATTTCTGTATCCAATACATGATGTTAAAAATGTCATCAGGAACTTAAAGATTCTCTTTAGGTGTATCTTTGCTCTTCATAGAAAATGACCTTACATTATCCTAACACCCCCAACCCCAACACTCCAGCACCTAGATTTACTCTGTGAAGGTACTGAACATCCCAGACAGGTCCCCAAATTCTGGGTTAGTGGGCTCCAGCATGCGGAACACCTCCCCGAGCTCCTCAGGTTGCTGCTGTGGCTGCTGTTGTTGTGCCTGTGCTGATTGTGTGGCAGTCTGCTGAGCGCCTGCCTCGCTGCCTGCCTGCCAGTGCTGCCACAAGGCTGTGGAAGAGCCAGAGCCTTGGTAACTAGGGTCCTGCGACGTGGCTGGACGCTGTCCCGAGCTCAGCTGGGTGTATGATGGACCACCTGCAAAAGTGAAACAATTGTGATGATGACAATTCTTCAAATGTTTCCCGAAGAGATACTACTGCTTCACAACCGAAAGCTGCAAACATCGATTCAGAAAGATGTACAATGTACTAAACAACTGAACTAAAGACACATTACAAAGGTGTGGGTGTTCAAATTGGAGTTCAAAACTGCAAAAACATTATCTTTAGTGAAATTCTGTGGGTAAAATACAGTGTATATACAGACATCAGTTATTACATCCTCTTCTGGCATAATCACAACAGTGACTTCAAACTATTATAGCTCACTTCACACTCACTTCACAACTAATTTATATTCAAGCTGATGATGATGCATATTCTGCCTTTGGGGATAATAAAACCAGATCTATAACATGTCACCAGAAAAACATACACAACTAAAGTGCATATAGGAATAGCACCATAAAGCTAAATGTGTACTCCCAACAGCTTTCATTATGACCTTATATTGTATATATATATATAGAACACATTAGTATTATAGGTTTAAGTGGCCTGTGTTACCTGGAGAAGTGCTTGGACTCATCTGGCTGTAGCCTGCACTGCCACTGTATTCTGATCCACCCTGTAACAACAAAAATGCATTCAGTACAAAAAAAAAAAAAAAAAAAAAAAAAAAAAAAACATATTCAGACTCATCAAAGAGGATTCGATGGATGTTGAGAAATAATATGTAACCCTATGGGAAATGTCAATTTAGAATCCCATCAATATTTCAAGGGACAGCAAATAATAACTTATTTCAAAAAATATAATCTGAAAAGATCCTTCTGGAATGGATCTTAGCATATACCTTCATATAAACGTCAAATGACACTATAACAGGTGATATTACCCATTCAAACTCAGCGTTTTACACTCGCACTCGCCAGCACGCCAATGCGAGTAAAAATTAAATCTGGCGTGTGAAATTTATGATGCAAGTCGCCATTTTGGCGAGTATATTTATGTCAACTTTCTATATTAAGTGTATCGGCAAAATTTAGACTCAATAAAAGTCCAATTGACATGCCAACATTGATCAACATTTACGGAGAAGTCCAAGAATTCCCCTCACTGCTAACCTCGTTTTCACTCTCATAAGTAATAGTTGTGATTGGTTGGTGTTGAGGAATTCTGTAATGACGTATTCACAGTCTCACTGTTGGTTTTGAAAGCCCCTAGCCTTCGTTTGCGCGACGGAGTTTGACGAAGTACTTCTTGGGATTATGCGCAGTCGATTCTTCCGGGAGAAAGTGTGCCAGTGGATCATGCAGATTTGAAAGTTACGAACGTCCCGTAGAAAAGACTGAGAACGTCTCAGAATCAGCATCAAATGATGAGTAAACAAAATCAAAGCAGAAACGAACTGATGAAAGCTAACGGTCTGAGCTCTCTGACACAAAGCACATTTTTGACATCCTAAAAAATATTTTTCTGAGCAGAGCAAAAGAAGTTTTTTCTAATGCGCGAAGATAAGATAAGGGTAAGAGAACTTGAATTACCTACCTAATTTCACACCTTGTGCTAATACAATACAATACCATTCAAATAATGCAATCTAACGGATTTTATTTCCCTGGGACACACTTGAAATTTTAACAATCTCGTTAGCTTTACAGCTATTCACCGATTTCATCGACCTACAGAGTTCACCCTTAATATCACATAAGTCTAGTTGTAATATTAATAATATTTAATTAAAGCTCATTTTAACATTTATATTGAAGCAAGTACTTCTAGAGCGTAAATGTTGAGTAAAACGATGTGTAAAACGATTGATCAAAACAGTTTAATTTTATCTTTATTTGCAAATTGCATATGACTTATAACCAACTACTGTATGCAGCATTGGTAGCTGATACTTAACATCTCAATCATTGAATCTTTGAATATTTGGCTGGCAACTTCTTAATAAAACAGGCCAAAGTCTGGCTTGTACATTTTCAATTTGGCCTGTAACTTTCAAAACTCACTGGCCAAATTGGCCTGTGCTATTTCAAACGGAGGTCAAACACTGCATGCTCCATGAAAGATGTAATACAGAGTCCAGCCATTCTGAAATGAAAGTAGGCTTCGCGCAAAGAACTTAACAAATACCACAAACAAAAATCCTTCAACTTACCCTCCTATATAAAACCTGTGAGGGCCAGCTTCCCTGTTGACTAGTTGACGGAATCTGTGTGGAACTCTGGGGAATGTTGGAATAAGACTTGACGGGGGACCTGTTGTAACTGTAACTGCCAGGCACCATGCCCGGGTACACCTCCCCTGTGTACCGACTGTCCCCGGCATTCTGAGCCATGCTGCTGATGCCTTCTGAGGCTCCCATGCCACGGTGGGGTGAGGCGAAGGTGTTGATGGTGGGGGTGGGGTCTGTGCTTTGGTCACCAGGGCTTACCTGACCAGCACTCTGTTGTTGCGAGCTTCTGAAATATTAGATAGCAACCAAAATTACATCCTAAAATCTCATATTTAAAGCTCGGACCAAAAACCTAGTGATTAAAAAAAATTTTGATAAACTTTAAAGTATGTTGAATTTTTAGGATTTAAATGCTCAATATTTCATTCATTTCCTAAAATTTACAGGCAAAAAGGTAACACAGCATTGAGATGCCTTCATTTGGAAAACCTAAATACTTTCAATTTCTCAAATATATACAGTAATATTCTGGATATTCTATTTAATGATATACATTAACCATCTTAAAATGCCAAAAGTTCTCTGTTCTTGCTTGGTTCAAAACTGGGGCACATAATTTCTCCAGTCAAGTACATTGCATTCTTAGACCATTTAAGCTAAAAGTTTCCCACTCTTGCTTGGTTTAACAGTTGGGGCACAAAATTTCTCCTATAAAGTACACTGTATTCTAAGACCATTTAAAGATGTACATTAACCATGTTAAAAAGCTAAAAGTTCACCATTCTTGCTTGGTTCAACAATTGGGGCACATACTTTCTCCCTAAAGTTCATTGTAAACGGTTTAAAGATAGACATTTACAATCTTAAACAGCTAAAAGTTTTTTTTCTTTGCTTGGTTCAACATTTAGGGCACAAACTTTCTCCTTAAAGTACATTGTAACCGGTTTTATTGTTATATATTAACCATCTTCAAAAGCTGAATGTTCTGTGTCCTGCTGTGTTCAACAATTGGTGCACAAAAATCCTCACATTTACAAAATAATCATCAGAAGAATGATCTACTGTACTCTTCTTACAGAGATTAATTTACCATCTAAACTCTCACTGGGATATTTTCTGTTCTTACTTGGCTAAACTGTTGGTGCACACAATGTACTCTACTTCATCTGTGTATGGGTTCTGGAAGCTGAAGCTGCTGGTTCTCAGCCACACCCACTCTCCATTTTTGGCCCGGAAGCGATACATGATGGACATCACCTGTCCTTTCAGTTTTAGCACTGGAAAAAAAAATAATGGCTAATGCTAGAAATACTTTTTTCTAAAGATAATAAGATAATAAGATAATTTTCTAAGATAATAAGAATAATATACAGACCATTCATCATCAAAGCAAATATCTACACAATCCCATATGAAACTTGTCTTTTATGGCTTGATGTGATTTAATTCTAGGCTAAGTAAAAGTATGGTGTACCCTGTTCAAAACTGTCCTTCATGTGGCCCTTGTCTTCAGGATGGTAGAAATCATAGGCAGACTTGCCCAACAGGTCAACAGGCTGGTAGCCCAATAAGTTGGCCACTCTGAAACAAATATAATAGATAAATTGTTGTAAATCTTCAAAATTTCTAGATAATGTACAATTAGTGGATTACTGAAAGTTAGTGAATTAAGAAACAACATCAGTCTCATTTAAGCAGAACATTTTAAATTTGACTTTTGAAAAAAATTACTTAACAGCCAATAGTAAATGTGTAGCAAGACTTTGTCTAATATAATTGTACCTTTGATCTGCAAATGTAAATTTTCCATCAATGCTATGTCTAGATATGAACTCTGACGTAGCATTAGGGCCAATCAAATCACTGCAATTTGGTGTGCCTGTGACTTGAAGTCGACCAATTGCCACAAGACAACAATGGCTGCCACTATGGGGCTCATCTGTCTCTGTTCTTTCTATTTGCACTCCTGTAAAATAAACGTATCACAAAGTTTTTTTTGTCTCAAATGATTAGAGGGTTGGTGAAAATAAATAAGAATACAAGAAAAATCCATATTGTAAATAAACTATATAATTAAAGCTTTACACCAGGATGTTGTATACAACATACATTTAACAGTAGAGATTTTTATCTTAAAATTCGAAGACCACACTTTCATCAAACCTCTCAATTCACTGCACTGTGCAAAAACCAGTCATCTGTTAACTAGATTACTCAATTACATTAGAAATACTCATTTTCATGTGGTATACAGCAAAGAGTAATATCAATTACCTCTGCTGAAATTACCTGCAGGAGGCCAGTTCTTGATGTAGCCTGTGATATGCACCACTGCATACTGGTGCCCATCACCAGAGGGCCCTAGCGAGTTCCTCTGGCGCAGTCGTATGGCGTGACTTGTGGTCATGGTGTCCACTTGAATGGCTCCAAGACGCATGCGACATATAAAGCCTCTGCGTGATCCCATACATAACCTCATGGAGGCTGGAAAAAAATAAAACAAAATGTGATAATGGGTTTGCTCTTTGGATAATACTAGTCAAATCAATAATTGTATGTAAGTGAAAAATTGAGAAGGAAGCAATAGCAATTTCACTTTCTTTCCCAAATTAAAAATCAGTGAGCATCTGGGTTAAAAAAATACTATGAAATACTACCAGACTGCACGATTGATATAATATTTTTGACTTGCATAACACTGAACATCTAACTTGGAAAGTCCTTGAAATGCTCTCTGATAGCAAATGTTGTGCTAAATAGAACCCTTTTTTTATAAAAAAAAATCATTTCAATAAGCAGTGAATCAGTAATTGTGAAAGATAGTGTGAAGATTGCACAAACACTCAAACAAAACCTTACACTGATGCCCTTCTTTCTTCACTGTTCCTGTTTTCAGGTCCAATATACGCCCCGTGTTCTGGGATTCTGTGGTGGACAGTTGCTCACGCACCTTCTCCACGTCATCAGGGTGTACCAGGTCATAGAGGGTGCTGGTGTACCAGTCAGACTGTGTCAAGGGAAAAATAAACATCTTATCTATGTATTTGATATCTATTTCCAATCAGATCATCTTAGTGAAATTCTGAACTATAGGGTGACATTTCCACAGCCTTTTTTTTTTTAAACAAACATCTTTTAGCCATTTACTTATTTACCTATAATGCTTCGATTCAATGGTCCTTTTGATGAACAAACCTTCAAAAAATCAGGCTGGACTGTCTTAATTGATGATTCACAACCATAGGAAATACTTACATGTGTAAGTAACTAACTACGCCCAAAAATGTTTCCAGGGAGCATTCTTTTAAAGAGATGTATGTACCTTATTTTAACATCAGCATTATGGGCATTTGAAAAGTGAGCCTCTCGGCCAAGTCAACCGTATAGTTCACTAACCTGAGACTGGTTAAGTACTGGTGTGACGGAATCAGAGACATAGATCACACGCCCCGTGTCACATTGAGCTACGAACAAGAAACCATCAGCAGCCTGAAAGGACAATATCCACAACGTAGCAAAAATACAGTAAAACACACAGTCCTTCTTAGGAGATTTTCATTAAACCACTGTCAATTCAAGTCAAGCACTAAACATTTTCTACAATCCATACCAATTCTTTTTACATTTGAAATAACTTACTTCCAAAATGAGATGCTTTAGTTCCTGGTCTGTGAGGAAGGACGGCTTGTAGGAACCATCACTGCTAGTGTTGCCTGTTCCTAGGAGAGATCACTGGCATCAATATTATCGAAAATCACAAAACCCCCTTTCTGAGAAATTTAGCAATAAAAGTCATCATTCACAACTTGTGTAAATAATATATATTGTTTGAAATACAACTTTTATCTCTATATGAAATAATGTGCTAAAGTACTGCATTAGCTGCATATGAAATTGATGGTTCAAATAAAAATATTCAGCTTATGTAACCAGTAGCAATCAAAGCTGCTCAGCACTGTGTGAATCTAACATCTGAGTTACTGCTCCACTGCTGCATAAATGATCACAATAACATTTAAAAATGACTGCTGATAAGAGAAACAGAATAATTGAAAATTGTTTCATCTTTTTTGTAAGAGATCATTATTTGAAGCAAGCAGAAAATGAAGATTCATGTGGAAGTCTTAAACAATACTGCATCAACATCTCACAAACAAATAAGAACATGTATCTTGTGTTTTATAAAGCAAGATTTGTGACTTATCATCAACATTTGATATATCAAGTGTGCTTTTGTGTATCCTAAAGCACCTACATGAAATAACAGAACATACCTGGTAAAAAATACAACCTATATCAAACACAGTAAGCAGAAGAAAAGACAGAGCCCACAGCTAAAAATGAGAATTCTACTACATAGAAAACACCATCACCAAACTGCCAGAATACCCATTTCATTGTTAGTAATCATTTCCTTATATTCAGTGAAAAAAATCATATTTTGATACCCTGTGCCACATTGTACATGCACTTACATCAAATAAAGTAGTTACAATACAGTGGAAAATCACATACAGTATATACTTATATTCAACAGGCATCCCTTAGACTACATATTTTAACTTGTAGGATTTTTTTTTCGTGTAAGATATCCATCATTCAAAATGATGAAGTGTTCAATTGCTAGATAATTTATCATAGGCTATTTAGCATATTGTATTACACAGCTTCTGACTGAATGAAAAAGGCAATTGTATTTTTTAAAAGACATTCCCTTTTTCAGGGATGGGAACAGAAAATTGTTAAAACAGAAGGAAAGTTTATCCACTTTTTATCATTTTTCATGAAATCAAACTTTCAAAATCATCTTTCATACAGAAAATATAATAAAACCCCAAATGAAGAAAAAGTCCCATCCCTGCTTAAAGTGCATGCAGTTTGTCCAATCTCCCCACCCACTCATATAAAGGAACTAAAAAGTGCAGTCAATTTCACATACCACTGTGAGAATTGGTAAATGTGTTCAATTTCTAACACATATTGCATGTAATAATGCATTTCTATGCATAATAATCACATATCTGCTCAAACACAGAGCTAAAATACTGGCAAATAAAAATTTTCTCATGAATATTTTTTTGTAGTGCTACCCAGACTGAGAAATGTGCCTTTATTAATTTTACAAAAGAAAACATAGAGACAGTAGAACATCTAAACAGTCTTCTTCCAAAGCAAAACTGATAAGCCGTGAAAGTAAAATTAGATAGCATTTAAGAAACCACCATTACCTCGTAATGTTTTCATGTGTGCTGCAGCAAGCCTGAGGATAGTCAGCTTATCTGGTTTGCGAGCAAGTGTGCTACATGCAGGGACCATATCACACAGTTCATTGACATATGTAGCCATCTTGCTACGTCTACGCCTCTCTATCTCACAATGGCTTTCCCTACAAGAAAATTGACAGTGTTCCCCAAAATGCTCAGTATACTTAAAGAGACATGGCCAAGTAAAGGTGGCGGCTGAGAACCTGGGGGCCTTTTCAACTGAAATGAAATGACTCAACTACCAGGACCATGCCCCTGAGCCCAACAAGTGTGCCCAATTTTCTGGACTCGAGAAGCTCCAATTTAGAATCGTGTGACTGTGCGTAGGCGTCAGCAAGATGACTGACATATGAGTATTATTGAACAAATACAATGCTCTCCATTTATATAATTAAGACATTGCAATTTCTGCCTGTTGAACTGTTTGCCATGGTCTTGGAAGTTGGGTTACAGAATACATAGCATGCATGCCTCACACCAGTTATACACAGTAGAACAAATGACAATTATGAAAGCAGACTGATCCCTGCCCTGTATACATCCTCGGAAGCCCCAGCAAGACTGCTCATGCACACAACCATAGTACAGGCCCTGGAACCACTGAACAGGTGCCACGTGATTACCTCGTAAAGTTTTCATGTACGAGCCCGCCATTCGCAGGATGGTCAGTTTATCGGGTTTACGGGCAAGGGAGCTGCATGATGGGATCATATCACACAGTTCCGACATGTAGGCAGTCATTTTGTTACGCCGGCGTCGCTCAATTTCACAGTGGCTCTCCCTGGTGGGAAAAACAGGTCAATGCAAAAGGTAAAATAAAAGGGTATATCATGAATGCATGTATGACATATGAACAAATCCTATTTCTAAAACATATCTGATCATAAAGGAACGAAAAAGTATATTTCATTCAAACTTATCAAAATTGTTGCTGGTGCATGCCTGAAAAAAAAAAAGATAAACTAGCATAAAATTCATATGAAGTAATCTACCAATGGCATATAACCAGACTGTACCATATCACCCCTCATAAACATCAAATCAAATGTCTGCACACAAATCTGGTCTCATTTTATCACACAAAATTTTCACCAAATACTTAAGATTTTTTGTCTGACTGTGAAAAAAGTCATGTTAAAAAGTAATCAATTTTTCAATATTATGTTCAATTTGTTCTTGTTTTGACAACACAGTTCAATTTATCCCACGTTAGGGATTAGTCCTACCCAGTACCAGCCTTAGCTTTGACCCAGGGAAATACTGGTGGTTTTACAGTGCACATGTCCTCTTCCATATTACCAACTCCTCCTCTGCTATATAACTTATATCTCCAATGCCTACAGTAAGTTCCTTAATGCCACATATAGCACCAGTCCTATAGCATTAACTCAGTGGACACAGAGCAAGTCTGAATACACTATATTTGATGATTGCCCCTAAAGGGATCTATTAATGAACAGGATGGCACTGCATTCCCTGTACTCTTGAAGGTTAAATGCATACAATATGAAAATAATGACCAAGGAGGGGGCACTAACAGTGCAACCATGTCATCAGTTTTTTTCCTTTTTTGAATTAGATTTATATAATAATATCTTTGGATTTTTTCATTTTTTAAAACAATATGGCAAAGTTAAATCAATTGTTGTTTATTTAATTAATTATAAAATAATAAACTGAAATTGATGCAATGGAACAGAACAGAATATAGTCAAAACTCATCCATCTTAATTTTGAAAATGAAACAAAACTTTTATTAAATATTCAATAAAATCTGCAGTAAAACATGCAGCTGCAATAGATGTTCCACAAATGTGACTTTCTAAAAGTCTTCAAAACATTTTCCAAAGGATCCACATGGATTTAATTCACCATCCATTTAACAACTGACAGACTGAGCTTTACAAGGAAAAATTCCTCAGTGCCCTCCCTCGCCAAGTGCAGCGTCAGTGCTAATGTTTGATAGCTATGCCATCTCATGAATAAGTACAGCATTGGCTAGAATACAAAATAGTTCAAATACACAAATAAATTCCTTCTTTGAATATCAACAGTGCAACCTTCATATTCCTTAGGTTAAACTGTTTACATAATCGTATATATTTGAACACTCTTTCACTTTTCTCAAATTAATGCTTTAATATAAAAAAAAATGCCTCTCACCTTTCAGTAAATTATATAAATACAATCAGTGCAAAAAATGCACAGTTAGTCATACCAAGTTGCACCTTATATTTAGACAATTTCACATAACACAAAATTGCACTTCACCTGGCAAATCTTTCCTTGTCAACTGTATCTTGGTCTCTTGAAAAACCTTGGCTATCTTCATCGTCAGAGCTGAAGAGATTGCAGAAAATACTTAATTTAATTTAATGGCACTTATATGAAAATCCAGCACCACTTTAATTGTCACCATAATAAATCAAACACCACTGTATAGCTGATGATAAAGGCAAATGATACCTTTTCGTTCTTGAGCCTTACTTCACAACATATATAATTTCTAATGATGGTTTTATTTAAAAAAAATGTTAATATTAAAATTTCATATCCATCCCTGTGCTAACCAATAAAAATAACATAATATGTATCAAACTATACATCCCCATACCACACTGCTGAATAATTGCACTGATTAATGATTTAGATTTTTTGTCATATTTTGATAGCAGTAACTTAAATTTTGAAAAGAAAAGATACCAACAAACTGTTAAGTGCTGCTCTCTGGTGGCCAAAAAAGACAACTCTAACTTACCCTCCTCCAGATGCCCTCTTCCTCTTTTTGCCTCCATCTGAAAATAAGAGAAATAAATTTTTACTAATGGTGCAACTTGATACAATTTCCATTAATCAATTAATCATTAGTTGAAAATAGTTGCTTTTTCTCTCCAATATTTCTTATAGGTCAAATCTGTAAAATAACATTTTCATTCAATTTAGTAGTTGTCTTTATAGACTCTATGCTCTTTACATTGATTTTTATGCTATAAAGGTAAAATCTTTTGCAATCATTACCATTTCTGTAGTGCTTTCATCCATTTTTGTTCAGCCATTGTTTTATATTTATCATTTATTTCAACATTTCTTTAAAAAATCTTTGGGTTGTCTTTAAGTGAATTAATCAAAATGATTTAATATCAATTAAAAACCAAGCATATCTAAATAAGAATGTTTAATTTTTGTTGCATTTTTCAAGATCAGAATCTGAGCATATTTGCGACAAATTACCTATATGATGAGTAATATAATAGCAAACCAATACACCAGTCCTTTAATACAGTACTAGTTAATTTGTGAAAGCACTTATGACTGCAACTGATATCCATTTGCAAAATAAGTAATCTGAATCCTATTGAATAAACCTGATGACCTATCTTATTACCTGGTCAATAGAAAACCATCAATTTTCCTAAATCACCATGGAAACCTGCCCTGACCTCACGCTTCCACTCATATTATGATGATAGCATACTCATTCAATAATATAAATATACTTAGTATACAAACGTTCAAAATTGCTGGATTTACATACTAGTAAACACAAACGTGAAACAATTTCTGATGCACCAGTTACTAAGAATTAAGTATCACATCAATAAGTTATAAGGTCGGTTTTTCAAGGGTAAGACATTTTCATATTCTGTACATGCTTATGACTACATGGATTTAAACCTAGATTTATTTGAACAAAGAAAAGTAGCTGATCATATCACTGGGTCTGGTGTATCAGTGGCATCTCTATTTCACAATTTACACCTACTTATCACCAGGATCCCATCATTTCTTCTTCAAGGAAGAGCTATCACCCACTCATAGGACTATTATAGTTATAAATAAAGACAACAGGGGTGAAGTGATACATGCAATTTAGTCGAAAACAGGTTCCAAATGTCTGTAGCTGAAGCTGAATACATTTTTGGGAAGCATTCCCTATTTTCTCTATTAAAATCTTTCTTATCCTTACCTTCAAAAACCTTGAAAATATTTGAACCTGTAGAAATATGTGAGGGTTAACTGTAGGTATTACAAATAGTGATCCAATTTCAAAAGACAACATTTTAATGATAATGCAATATTAGAAAGTTTACTTTCTACTGAACGATCAAACTGGCTCCTACAACTAGGGCACAGACGGGCTGCTTAAGATGCTTTCTTGGTAACATCCTTAAGACTTAATATGTTTTAGGTGACTGCATTAGACAACAATTATTAAAATGCAATAAACTTAAGGCAACTTCTTTTGATCCCCTTTTCTATTTTGGTATTGATATCAATAAACAAGCAGAGTTATCTGAGCAGTGCATTTGTACAACCAGACATTTGTCCCCTGTGTTGTTCGAGTGCAATTAACCTAATTGCATACGGGCCTATAATAGACTTGTAATGACCTTACAATGTACTGACCACCTGAGTGTAGAGAATATCCCATTATGTTAATTAGAGGCTAATTAGTTTTCACAAGATTTTCTAAATATAACTAGATATAGATGGCAATGTAGCACTTAGCTTTTGAGCATGAAATTAAAAAATAGTTAAGGTACATCTCTATTTATGTTAATATGCTTGCAAATTCTGTCTTAGATACTGTAACATAAAATCTTTTTAAAGAAATAAAATTATTATCTATGTTCAAAATTACTATATACATCTATTCACAAAGCCCATGGCAGATAAAGAAAGTGGTCTGATGAACATACATTTTTAGTGTATAATTTTATTTACCAGCTAATAAACGAACTGGTTTATCCATGACATTCAGAAAATACTTAATGGCCAAATAATTGTTTTTTCTTGTTTTTCTCCACGTATAATTATTTTTGACCAACAAAACTTAAAAAATACCAATGATAATGCCAAACACTAAAGCCATGACAAAGATGACCTGATTTACCAACATTTCAATCAGGCAGGCAAAACAATTATTTTTAGGTAAAGCTTTTGGCAAATTTTATGTAATATGTGGAATCGATGTCTGCATTTTCATGGGGATTCTGTCCCTACTGACAACAAAGCAAAAGACCTTCCACAGAACACAAAGACTTTGACCACATTCAACACGTTTGCATCAACTCAATAAACACTGGAGTCCCAGATTAATCAGGCATGACAACATTAAAAACATTTTAGTGTGAACAACAAACGGACTCGGAGTAACAGTTAAAATAAGACTGTTAAAACAAATAACATCATTTTTATGCATTTGGAACGATGCCTAAATAACAGCAGACCTATTTTGGCCAAGCAGCCTCAAACCACAAGAAATCTGGGTCCAGCAAACAAGGCCTCCGGCGCTGTAATAAAGGCAAATATATTGACTAGCTACCCTATATTCTTACCTAGAGCCCCTGGGGGCGCCGCTGAGGCAGCTGCCATACTCATGGATAACCTGATAGCACAATAAAGCTTTGGAGTTGTTGTTATTCAACTGGACCACGTATTACTTCGCCAAGTTCCTGGTTATTTTGCTTCCTTGATCCCGAAATATTGTAAGACAACAATAATTCCTCCTCGAACGTACCATGCGAGAATATGCGAGATGTAGAACAACGCATGCCCTGTTGCTACAATTGACTAACTTCCGGGCAGACTGCCGAGATTGAGCTGAGGCTGATCGGTTACAAAAGTTTACAGTTCTTGTTGCTGAAGTTTGATGTGTCGGGTATGATAGCTTAAAACATGGGGTAAGTTTGTCAGTTGCCGCTGCTGGTTGACAGCAAATACATGTAGCGATAGTTACTGCAGACGCCAGTCAAATTATTATGTGTGAATTTCCAAATTCCATTCATTTTATCAAAAATCAAAACAAAACAATTGCTACAGTCACTGAGTCAGACCTCAGCAAATATTGAGATACTGCCAAACTTAAAGTTTGCATTATTACACTTTGGCATTATTACACTTTGGCAATTTTAAACACGATGTTATATAAAGTTAACATTTGCTGTATACTGTATATCATGTTTCTGGATTGCCTACTCTCCTTGCCACAGCTTATAATCGAAGTAAGGAGAAATATTTACTTGCATACCGGTAGATGAGAAAAGTGGAAATGATTGTCAGCCACATTATATCAGTATCTTTCAGACCCCAGCACCACTGCACGTATATTCCTGAAGGTACGGGGGGGGATTAATGGTAAAGTGAAAAATGTGAAAGTTATGGAGCGGAGTGTTGCAAAAGTACCAAGAAAATTTGGTGCTAAAGTGAATTATATTGGACAACTTCATCCCCCTTTTAGAATCCATTTCCTGTCCAATACCTGACTGCTGGGCTGTAAATCAATGTTTGCTGGTCAATGTTTGAGCTTTCAAATATTATTAAAAATATTATATATATATATATATATATATATATATATATATATATGTGGAGGGCCCAAGTTTGTGTGCACTGCTGTCACTGACAGACTTGTTTATCAATGAATCAAAAAGCTACATGCAGTGCTCTCTTTATGCTTTTATATTTGAAGAATAAAAGATGAAACCAAAGTGTGGCCAACACATGATAAAGATCCATAGAGAAGTAGAAACAATAAAAGTATATATTTAAAAGTATATTAAAAATTACATTTAAGTTTAAAACTATATTGTACATATTATAAAATGTCTCAGGGTCATACTTTCTATATCTACAAATCCCTCAAAGCTTTCCCCATTCAAAGTTAAAAAATGATAAACCAACTCAAATAAAGTATCTGATGTCAATATTTC